CTCTCTGTCTTTCTGGTGAGTGCACACACCCTATGGCAAAAATCTCTCCCAAAAAAGGAAAGAAAAAGAAAAAGAAATAAAAAAGAAGGGAAAAAGTGAAGTATGAAAAGGTTGTTTTAATCAAGCTAGTATGGTAGTGGCATAAGTACAGACAACTAAACAATGTAAAGACCTCAAAAATAGACTGAAATATATGTGATCAATCTTCTTTTTTTCTTTTACTTTTTTTTTTTTTATACAAGGGTATGGGGCAACTCAATGAAAAAAATGAAATCTTTTAAATAAATGGTGTTAGAACTATTGAACATATTTATGCAAAGATATTATCCTTGACTTATACTTTACACATTATACCAAAATAGAAACAAACTCCTCCCTAAATTCTAAATGGAAGTATAAATATAAAAGATAAAATGACAGCAGTAGAAGAAACACAGGGAAGGTTCTCTGTGATCTTGGCTTAGTCAAGAGCATTATCTGTAAATGGGAAAGTTGATAAAGCAGACCAAAATTTTAAAAGTCTAACTGTGCAAAAGATATTCTTAAGAGGACAAAAAGGTAGGGCACAAATGAGGAAATAATAGTAGTAAATCATATATTTAATGAAAGACTTATACCCAGAATATATAAAGAATTCTCAAATTTTAACAGTGTTACATTTTTGATAAACGTTGAAAGGAAATTGTAAATGTTCTTGCTACAAAAATGATAACTTCGTGAGATAATTCATATAAGAATCTTCAAAATGTTCCTGAAAAATGGCATATTATAAAAATACTATGCATAGATTTCAGTTTTAGTACTGTTATTCTGTTTTTTCCACAGATTTTTGAAGCCTTCTATATATTAAGTAACTATGCATTCCATAATATTTTTCAAAGACCCTGTTGTTCATAAAAAATATTTACAAATTTATCTGTCAATTTTTTAAAAATTAAAACATCCTTAAAAATTAGGGATTAAATAAGTGAAAGTGGGTAAAAACGTCAACACTTTCTATACAAAATAAGTTATTCAGATAGCAAATCTGCCTAAGGAAAGAGGCTTAATATTAATTTTAGAGAAAAAATGTATAACCACAATAAGATACAAAGATAGATAGATGGATAGATAGTATGGAAAATATCAAAAGCTTCACTAGAAGATGCAACATGGGTGGAATTCTCATACACTGCTACTGGTGATTTTACCCAAGGGAAGAATTTATGTTTACATGATAAACCTGTACATAAATATTTATAACAATTTTACTCATAATTACTCCAAATTGGAAACAATCCAGATGCCTATCAATTACTGAGTGGAGCAATAACCTGTAGTGTATACTGAGAAAGAATTACTGCTCAGCAATACGAAGGACTGAATGGGTGATACACTCAACAACATGGGTAAGTCTCCAATGTGTTATGCTGCATAGTATAATATTTTACTTACATGAGGTTCTGGAAAAGGCAAGCCTACAGGTAGGAAACAGATCAGTGGGCACCAAGGTTTGGGAGACATGCTGACTAGAAATGAGAAGTAAAGGAATCTTATAGGCTATGGAACAGTTCCTTATCATATCATGGTGGTGCTGATATGACAACAAAAGTATCAAATCTAACAGAATTATACAAAATATGATTTTTACAGTCTGTAGTGATAAAAGATAATAGGAGTAGACATTTATTCAAAAGATAAGAGGCATTAGAAATTAGAAGAAAAAGTCATTAGGCGGCTATTTTGAGGAGTTTATCTATTAAAAGAAAAGGACTGGGGTAATAGCTAGAGAGGGAAGTAGAGTCAAGCTTTTTTTTGCCTTTTTTTGGGAGAAAGGATTTTTTTGTTGTTGTTTTGTTTTTGTTTGTTTGCTTGTTTGTTCTTTTTTTTTTTTGCTAGAAGTTGAGAGGCAGAGAAAAACAGACAGACAGAAAGTGAGAAATCACTCTCCCCAGGGGGGATCGCCAAGCTACAACCCCTTCTCCTTCACTTTCCTCTTGGGATTTTGGGTACACAAGCACACACACCTGGAGTGAGTTTCAATCCACTGGTTCTGGGACTCGAACCACAGTCGGCTTTGTGGGAGTCCAGCACCTTAATTACCACATCACCTCAGACAATATTTTAAGATTGGTAAATTAATAGCCTGTTTGGTGATGGTAAGTACCCAGTAGAAAGAAGAAAGCAGGAATTCAGAAGAGACTTGGTAAACCAATATTTTAGTACACAAGAGAAGATGAAATCAATTACACAAGTGAAAGAGACGGTGTTTTCCCAGAGAACAGACGGCTCCTCAACAGTTTTAAGTATATAGACCCAGATGCAGGTAAGTAGCTAGGGGAGGTGGGTGGTGGGAGTATGTGGTAGGAGCTCAAGGATGCTCTCCTCTTGTTGCTCCTAATTTTCAGTGAATAGAAGGCAGAGCCCTAGGCAGGTAGTGAGGGTCAGGGAGGAGGAGTGGAAGTTTGAGGAGACCGTATTTTCACAATCCTGCAAGGCTGTGACTAGGACATGGCAGATATGCAGCTCTGTGCTAAACTCCCACCCGCTATCATTTTCTTGTCCCTAGTGTCAATGGCAGACTTCATTCGTCAATCCTAGTCAGCTTTTCTGCTAAGTCTCTACTAGGTCTCATTATCAGTCTGTACACTGCTCAAGCAACTATTGCCAGTAGATCAGAATTGACATAAATTCTTGTTCTTTCAGTCACCCAGTGTCACCTGATCTTAAATCAAATGAATTTGGGGGAAGGGGCAAATACTCACCAGAAAGAAAGAGGGGAAGAGAGAAAAGAGAAAAAGAGAAAATACCACCCAATGGGGGTTGGTCATGTGCAATCCTTTTTTGCTCCATTTCAGGATTGTGAGCATGAACATGCGTGTGCCTGGAGAGTTTTTCATGTGTCAGGGGCTGGGATTTGAACTGCAGTCACATATGTAGGATCTGGCTTCCTACACAGGGCTTAATCATTGTGCTATGGAGTTAGACGATCCAAAGAATTTTAATTGAACTTTAAAGAATCTAAGTGATGGGACCAACAGTTAGCGTAATGGCTATGCCACTGGACTCCCACATAGTCAACCGCAGTTCGAGTCCCAGACCCGGTGCCTTAAACTCATGCCGGGCGCGTTTGTGTGTGCCCAAGATCCTGAGAGGAGAATGGAGGGGAAGGGATTGCGGCATGGCCATCCCTCCTGGGGGGGGATTTCTCGCTTCCTGTCTCTTGCGGGTGTGGCCCTCCCCCCGGGGGGGGGGGGGTGATTTCTCACTTTCTGTCTCTCTGTCTCTCTCTGTCTGTCTGGCGAGCGCACACACCCTATAGCAAAAACCTCTCCAAAAAAAAAGTAGCTAAGTATCTAAGTGACCATTGACATATGTTTTTTGTCTTCTCTCTTACATGTAAAATGCCATTTTTTGTGCTAGATGGAGTACGTGGTAGGAGTACGTGGGGAAAACTGAGGGTGTTCTCTCTCTCTCCAGTGTTTTCAGTTAAATAGGAAGCACTCATCAGCAGGTAGTGAAGGATGCTCTCCTCTTGTTGCTCCTTGTTGCAAAGTTAAAGAAGTTGCGTTTTCTCAGCACTGCAAGGTTTCAGACTGAAGCACAAGTGCTTCCAGTATGTGGGGAGGAATCCTTCATTTTCCATTCTTTCTTCCCTTCCCTTCCCTTCCCTTCCCTTTCCTTTCCTTTCCTTTCCTTCCCTTTCCTTTCCTTTCCTTTCCTTCCCTTTCCTTTCCTTTCCTTTCCTTCCCTTTCCTTTCCTTTCCTTTCCTTCCCTTTCCTTTCCTTTCCTTTCCTTCCCTTTCCTTTCCTTTCCTTTCCTTCCCTTTCCTTTCCTTTCCTTTCCTTCCCTTTCCTTTCCTTTCCTTTCCTTCCCTTTCCTTTCCTTTCCTTTCCTTCCCTTTCCTTTCCTTTCCTTTCCTTCCCTTTCCTTTCCTTTCCTTTCCTTCCCTTTCCTTTCCTTTCCTTTCCTTCCCTTTCCTTTCCTTTCCTTTCCTTCCCTTTCCTTTCCTTTCCTTTCCTTCCCTTTCCTTTCCTTTCCTTTCCTTCCCTTTCCTTTCCTTTCCTTTCCTTCCCTTTCCTTTCCTTTCCTTTCCTTCCCTTTCCTTTCCTTTCCTTTCCTTCCCTTTCCTTTCCTTTCCTTTCCTTCCCTTTCCTTTCCTTTCCTTTCCTTCCCTTTCCTTTCCTTTCCTTTCCTTCCCTTTCCTTTCCTTTCCTTTCCTTTCCTTTCCTTTCCTTTCCTTTTTTCTTTTCTTTTCTTTTCTTTTCTTTTTCTCTTTCTTTCTTTCTTTCTTTCTTTCTTTCTTCTTTCCCTCTTTCTCTTTCTCTCTTTCTTTCTTCCTGCCTAGGAACTTCCTGGATAAGCACTCCATTGCTCTCTTTCAAAGAACAAAAAAAATTTAGCCCATGTCCTTTTAAGTAGTTTGTGGAAAGCTTTACATAAATTCCATTGCTGGCCAAAATTATAGTTGCAGGGAACTTGCTATTAAGGTAGAAGAGACATGTCTCAAAAATTATGCCTGGATACTTTGGTTGATAATTGCAATTATACCAATAGATTAGGTAATCAAGTATAGTCCAATGTAGACATTGCCATGGTTGAAAATAGAAGTTGCCACAACTGGAGTCAAGTTTAAAAAGTTACCTACTCATTTGTAATGAAAGAGTCAACAAAACATTTGAGTTAAAACTAAAATAAGAAGTGAACCACTTAACATTCTTAACATTCTTTGGGGTTGTTTTTTAAAGTGTCATATCCACTTACCAGTGCACTATTTAAAATATGAATTTAATTTAAAACTAAACTGGAACTTAATGTATTAGAGTACCTGAAGTGTCTAGGATAATCTCTTCTTCGATACACTATATACTGGCAGATTCACTTGGCTCAAGCCAAGATAGCACAGCTTAATGGCTTCGGTTGACCAGTAGTAATCAAGAGGTGAGTGAAACAAGGTTTTATCAGGGAATGAATGTGTTTCATGTGTCACCAAGACAGTGACTGAAATCAAATGAGATACCTTCATTCTAAAAAAGGTGATGCTTGTTAGCAGGTCAACAGTTGATTTCAGGTCTTGTAGTCTTTCCGAATTGCCAGCGGGAAAGTTTTCCTGGTTAATAAGGAAACACAAAATGGGCAAAGTTGGCAGCATTAAGCCTCCAGTTACACAACTGAGAAAAATAAATGAAAGCTATCTTTCTGTGAAAGAAAATAGTTACATAAATTGTGTAATCGTTTTTAAAAATTCCCTAAAATATGTTTAAAATATTATCATAAAACATCATAGAAAATAATATAGAAGTAGTCTCTCCTTCATCTTAGAAAACTATTTTCTTCTATTTAGTCTCACAATGCAATAAAAATATACAGAACAATATCAATACCATAACATTATGCTATTAATCCTTGCTCATAATCTGCTACTAAAATAAGGGAGGATAGCATATATTTGAATATATTTTCATAATTTTCTCAAGATAAGTATATTCTTTCAAAAACTTTGGCAACTACACATGCACTACATTTACTTTTAGTCCCAAAGAAACTTTAAAAAGTTAAAAAGTAAGGGTGCACTGGATAATCTTTCCTGAGTGCTATGGATTTCAACAACAAAGGGTTTTTTGGGTTGTTTTTAGTGAGGTTTGGAGTAAAATGCTATTTAAAAATACACATGTTCAGAATTTTCAAGAAAAGGCATGTTATGAAAATATCTGAGCTATGAATCAAATTTTTTGAGAGGTTTTTGCTATAGGGCACATGGACAGAGACAGAGAGAGAGAAAGCGAGAAATCACCCCCCAGGGGGGAAAGCCACCTTCTCCTCCATTTTCCTCTTGGAATCTTGGGCATGCATGCACACACGCCCGATGTGAGTTTAGGTCACTGGGTCTGGGACTTGAACCCCTGTTGGCTACATGGTAGTCCAGTGACATAGCCATTACACCACCTGTTGGTCCCAGCTATGAATCAATTTTAACAATGAGAAATTTCTCTTACTAGCATGTTCTCAAACAGCCTTTCCAAAGAGCCATCAGGAAAGCTATAGTTAACTTGTAAATATTCATGAACTTGAACAGAGTTATGATTCCTAAATGATAGAGAATGAGGTGGCCTCAAGTCCACCAAGTAGGTAAGACAGAACTTATTATCCTGCCAAAATATATTCTTGTTCCAAAATATCTTTTTCAATGACTGACCTTGCAGTTCTCTTCTCTTCAGGATGGCCCCAATTCAAACATGAGATGTGAGTTTGATAAAATTTGGAATTACAGTCTCCAAAAATATGCAATTAACTTATATGTCAATGGGAGACTAATTAAAAATAAATGCAGGAGAGAAACTCACTTACATGTAAGAAAGATGTTTGGTATAAATTGTTAAAAGATGAGACCAGCAGTTAGCATAATGGCTATGTTGCTAGACTCTCATGTAGTTGACCACGGTTCAAGTCCTGGACCCGGCAGCGTAAACTCATGCTGGGCATGTGTGCGTGTGTGCCCAAGTTTCTGAGAAGAGAATGGAGGAGAAGGGATTGTGGTATGGCCATCCCCTCTGGGGGGTGATTTCTCACTTTCTGTCTCTCTGCTTCTCTCTGTCTTTCTGGTGAGTACATGTGCCATATAGCAAAAACTTCTCCAAAAAAAGAAAAAAAAAGATGAAAGATATAGGTAAGTATCCATAATTTTGACTATAGGTTTCTTGTAAACAAAATTGGTAACTAAATTTTTATAACTAAAATACTTTCCTACTAAAATTATACATTATGCATTTATTCACATGCATACTTGAATATATTTATACATGCATACATGTGTTTTGCCTAGAGGTAAGATACAGAGGTTTTGACGGTGAATTCTGGACAGCTTTCAAAGGGAGGAGAGAATTAAGCAATGATTCCTACTAGGAATCCCAGAAGCTGGGGAAATGTCAGCATAATACCTTAATAACAAGGTGAAGTGAGGACTAGGTCACGTGTCTAGTTTATGAATTAGCTAAGGATCACTGAATCTGATGATTTTAAAAATGATAAAGTTATATGTTGCTAGACTCTCATGTAGTTGACCACGGTTCAAGTCCTGGACCCGGCAGCGTAAACTCATGCTGGGCATGTGTGCGTGTGTGCCCAAGTTTCTGAGAAGAGAATGGAGGAGAAGGGATTGTGGTATGGCCATCCCCTCTGGGGGGTGATTTCTCACTTTCTGTCTCTCTGCTTCTCTCTGTCTTTCTGGTGAGTACATGTGCCATATAGCAAAAACTTCTCCAAAAAAAGAAAAAAAAAGATGAAAGATATAGGTAAGTATCCATAATTTTGACTATAGGTTTCTTGTAAACAAAATTGGTAACTAAATTTTTATAACTAAAATACTTTCCTACTAAAATTATACATTATGCATTTATTCACATGCATACTTGAATATATTTATACATGCATACATGTGTTTTGCCTAGAGGTAAGATACAGAGGTTTTGACGGTGAATTCTGGACAGCTTTCAAAGGGAGGAGAGAATTAAGCAATGATTCCTACTAGGAATCCCAGAAGCTGGGGAAATGTCAGCATAATACCTTAATAACAAGGTGAAGTGAGGACTAGGTCACGTGTCTAGTTTATGAATTAGCTAAGGATCACTGAATCTGATGATTTTAAAAATGATAAAGTTACAGTTATATACACGCACAGAATATTGTTGTTGGCTTATGTGAGATGAAGTACCCAAACAACAAAAAAAATTTGCTGGATAATTAGTGTGACAGGACCTGAGATTAGAATGTTTTTTTTTTCTACTGCATTATGGGCATTTTTTACAATATGACAAGAAAGCATCTAGACCAAACAGAGCAGTTTGCCTTTAGGCAAATAATGATGCACATACCCGATACTTTGATAGGTCAATCCTCAAAGAATTATGCAACTGGTCCAGTAGTTTTATGAATTTTTCCCTCTGTACAAAGCAAACACAAAACAGATAAATGAAAAGAAGTGGTCATTCTGAATAAGGTCTCACAACAGAAGCTACTGTCCCATTTCATAGAAAGGAAAGTCCAAAGATGTCAGCGGCTTGTCCAAAACCATAGAGCTATCACGTGGCACAGCAGAGATTTAAACTCGTCTCTGACCCCAAATCCATGCTTTTTCCAGAAGTCACACTGTGTATCTAAAAAGAATGACAAATGTATACGTGTCTCACAACACTTCTAGAGTGATGAATTCTTTAGGAAGATCTCAGACACATGGATTGGCACTGTACCTCTCTGTGTGTAATGCTTCACAGTAATATCACACGTCAGCAAAAGAAAACACACCCCACCTTTCTTTCCACTCCCACACACCACCTCCATCTCCCTAGAAAACAAATTATACTTTCTGAAACTTCTCCCAACTAAGGAAGTGGGAACAGCTGTTGTTTTGTCAAAAACCACAACAAAAAATTAAAGAGCCTTTCCTTCTGAAAGCAAATACAGACTTCATAATCTAAAAGGATCAATTGCTCTTAAAAGGATGTTTATGATTTAGTGCTAAAAATAGTATAAAAACCAGGCCAAATGTATTTGTGCTGCTTCCTTTTGTTACTGTACCCATGATGGACTGACCTCTTCATAGAAGTATTTGAAGATGGTGAGGATAAAGGGTTTTGCTAATACATGTAGTAAGTGCCTGGTCGAAGTTGTGTGGACTAAAAATAAACGGGAAAAACATCAAAATCATATGTATAAACTCTATAGGTAACACTATATTGTTCTGAGTCTCAGTTTTTCAGCACAAATAAAAAGCAGAAGAAGATGTAGGGTTAAATGACAGAAAAAGATCTCCGCAACATTAATATTCTGTAAACACCCAGATTGCACTTTGGAAGATATTGACAAAAATATAAACTTTCCCTAGTAGTTTCACGTAGGAGGTGGATTTATGGGTATATAAATTTTATCCCTTGAAGTTACTGATCCTTGATACAGTGGGATGAATATTAATAGAAGTTGATAAATTGTTTCCAAGTTGAAACTTTTATTTTCTGAGTAAACTTATTTCATCAGATTTACACATCAATGAATAAAGTCTGAGCATCTCCTCCGTGGGCCCTAACCCCTGCGGAGGCAATAACTGAGCTTAGGAAATAAACCTCGCCTTCCAGAGCGGGCAGTTCTGTTAGGCAGGTTAGGATTCTCTATCCCAGCAAAGCCACTGAAGATTATAGATGAGCTGAATGTGGTGGATTTTTCTTTACTACAATCAGCACACCTTCCCAGGAAAGCAAACTATGCATCCTTTACTCACTCCCTACCCCCCCGACATGTGAGGTAGTGATTCTGAATTGAAAAGAAAACATGAAAGAACCACTACAATGACCAGGTTAGGCCACAGTAATCATACGGATGACTGTAAAAGTCAGTGTGACTCATGGCATGTCTTTATCTGACTTCCATGATTGGCACAAATCACCAAGACAGCTGAATTTACACTGACCAACCATGCTGTGGCCCAAACCACTGGCCCTCTTACACTTCCTAGGGCAAACTACTTTAATCTGCCCCATACCCATTCTTCCACTTCTCCTCACTCACAGAAACTCATATGTCACGTGTGCCCCATATGACACGGTCACTGCCCCCCCACCCCCGCCAGACTTTTCTTTCAGGGACCACCATGTAGCACAGTTTTGGCCAATGAAATGAATATAGCTTACTAAAGAGGATGGGCTTATCTATCAATACCACAATTATCAATGAGTTGTTATTTGAAAAGATCCTAAAAGAGTGCTTGTCAGGTATTGTTCGTTAGAATGGCTTTTGCAGTAGAATTCTTTGTTGTTCAGATAGTTCCAGATTCTTTTTCTTTTTTGTCCTATGTGTTTCTCTCTGTTTCCCACCTTAACTTCAGATAAACACTAGAAGTTAGAGCTGTAATTTCATGCCCATAAAATAAAAGCTCAAGAAATGATAAGCATGGTGGAGCTGAAAGCTAGAAGGAGCTCCCTCTCCCTCTTCATTTGGTCTGCCTACCTTTTTAAAAATGTACAACCTTGAGCAGCTGCTCTAGACCTGGATTATTCTCTCCCTCCAGATTTAGGTTATATTGGGGGGGTTCTTATTTAGCTAAGTTTATTTAGTTGTCTTTCTGTTTTAAGCAACTGAGCAGAATTTTGAAGATACACGTTATATATTTGGTCTCCCTACCTAGGTCTTCCGTGCCCAGTTGGAAAATTTATATTCAAGGAAAATAGAACACTGTGGAGCAAACTGCCAGGCTTGTTGTCACTGAATCTCAAACAATATCAGATGATGTGAAATTAAATGTGGGCCGCTATTGAATTTTCATAGAGATTCTTTAAACAGCAGGACAGCTTGAAATTTAATTTTATTTACCATATTTCTATTTAACTGGAATGAGATTGCCTTTGTGAAAGCAGAGAATGCTTACAGCCTGTGCAGTGTAATTTGAGGACAACAAAAGCCTGGGTGATTAAAAATATGTTCCCTAAGGGGCAAGGGACAATATCTGAAATTGCCACAGACTTGGGTCTTTTATTAGGTAAGGCCCGTATGTGTGCAATAGGAGGTACATCAATAATAATAGCAACACTAAGTACTATTAGTTATCAAAATTAGTTGATCAGAATAACCAGGCCAGAGGTCAGCAACCTGTCTGAAAAGGACTGACAGTAAATGGTCTCAACTTTGCAGACTCTGTCCACAGTATTCAACTCTGCCATTCCAGCGTAAGAGCTGCCATAGACAATATGCAAACACAGTTGTTTCCTTTTTCTTTTATATTTTTTAAGTTTTCATTTATTTACTCCAGGAGCAAGAAAAGGAGAGAAAAAGAGACAGAGACAGACAGACAGACAATATCCTAACAGGGTTTTGACATCATCATCGACTCCCAGCCTGCAGCTAGTCCAGGATCATAAGTAGGCACATACCTGGTATACTCAGTGAAGTGCCTAGAGGGAACCTGGAACTTTCTCCCATGGATCAGCTATATAGAGCATTGCATTTTACAGCTATGCCACCATCTGGCCCTTCCAATAGCTGTTTTCTAATGAGACTTTTGGACACTAAAATTTGAATTTCATATAATATTGGCATATCAGAAAATAATAGTCTTCTTTTGATTTTTTTTCATTATTTAAAAATGTAAAAATCATTCTCAGCTTTGAGTCACACAAAACTAGTTGGTAGGCTGGTTTTGTCTCATGGGCTGAGAGAAGACTTTGACCAGGGCAAAAGCTGTTGCTATCCCACCAGTGCACTCTCACCAACTGTGCCCTAAGTCCTGGTAACAGTGGAAAGCAAAGTTCTTGTAAGGGAAGGTACAAAATCCTCTGTATTCTCCTTAGTTTCTCTCTATGGTTCCTTTCTTTCTCACTGTCTTGCTCCAACAGCAGGGGTGAATTAAACCAAAAGTGAATATTGCTTAAGCTTTGGGGTCTGTAGGAGGAGACCTAGCCATGTATTCATGTGATTGATGTTTTTGGTAAAATTTGCAGAAATAAGATAAAGATTATTTTGACCTAGACAAGCAAACTGTAACATTATTTTCTAGATCATACTCAAAACAGCAATTCACTCAGAGACCTTTACAGACATAACACATAGGCTATTTTTTTTTATAATTCAATTAATGGTAATCATATAAACATATTGAAATATATTTACATTTCTTACTGATTTGAAATGAATGCCCATATTTACAATGATCCCATAAAATTATAAAATGCTTTTGATGATAAACTAATTAATAAATATCATCAATTCTAAGAGTATTTAAAGAGTCTCATCCTAGGAAAACTTGAAAAACACTGAAATACCATAGTTCACTCATTGAGATAGTCTGAATGTTCCCCTCAGTCTGACAGAACTTCTGATAGCTTTCTTCCTGACTGTAGATCCTGATATCTCTTCACTATTTTCTTAGAAAGTTTGTAATTGTGGGACCAGCAGTTAGCGTAATGACTATGTCACTGGACTCCCATGTAGTTGACTGTGGTTCAAGTCCTGGACCCAGTGGCTTAAACTCACGCCAGGCACATGTGCGTGCGTGCCCAAGATCCCGAGAGGAGAATGGAGGAGAAGGGATTGTGGCATGGCCATCCCCCATGGGGGGGGTGATTTCTCACTTTCTGTCTCTCTGTCTCTCTCTGTCTCTCTGGCGAGCGCACACATGCACCTTGTAGCAAAAAAAAAACCTCTCTAAAAATAAATAAATAAATAAATAAAAACACAGAAAAAAGAAAGTTTTTAATTGTAAATTTGTTCTTATAATTGTATATTTGTACTTTATCAAATATGGGATATTTGATATGTAAATATTTTCTTTCTTCTTCTTCTCTTTTGTTTTTTAGAGAGGATTTTTGCTACAGGGCACATGTGCTTGCTGGAGAGAGAGAGAAAGAAAGTAAGAAATCATCCCCCAGGAGGGATGGCCACACCACAATCCCTTCTCGTCTATTCTCCTCTTGGGATTTTGAGCATGCACGTACACATACCCGGCATGAGTTTTAAGCTGCTGGGTCCAGGACTTGAACCATGGTCGGTCATGTGGGAGTCCAGCAACATAACCATTATGCCATCTGCTGGTCCATCAATATGCAGATCTGATTGTCTCCTGAAAGACTTGGAAGTCTTTGAAATATCATCAAGGACAGAGCATCCCCCTCTCCTAGCCTCCTTGGGAGGGTAAGAGCTTAACTTAAATTATCCTCATCAATTAGCAAATATAGATAGCCTAATCACAGAAATAAAGGCAAATTCAGAATAACTCAATGTACTGGACACAACCCAATTGATCGACCTGCCTCCTAATATCCTCTAATACTTTTCTGTAACTATTCCAGTCTTTAAAAATCCTCCCACCTTGGCTCTGGCAAGAGCTGTGGTAGTTAAAGGCACTGAGTTCCCACATGGTCAAACATGGTTCAAGTCCCAGGCCAGGCAGCTTGCTTTC